GGCAGGTTTGGTAATTTGTTCACACAAGCAAGAAGGAAAGAGAACTAGATCAACACCGAAAGGTTCCATTTGGATCTCTCGAGACTTTCAGTAGTAGGCTTCTGAAGGAATTTGCTAGGGTGCCGGGCTTAAAAGCACCTACCTTCGAATCTGGGGAACTAGTATGCCATGGTCTTTGCCCGTAATCTACATTGTCAGCATCGGTATCAGGCGAAAAGTCAAAAGAGGACAGGACGTCATTCAATTCACTTGCCTCAGAGCAGGAGTGAATGAGGTTTCTTCCGCTGACAGAAGTAGCTTGACCTTGTTAGACTTGAATTTCATATGTGGAATCACACGAGGGAGAGTCCTATGTGGTTGATCTGAGTCTTCTTAAGTAAATAGAAGTTCTTAGATTTTCCATCTAGAGGAGACTCCGAACCCTTCAGCGCTACTCTACCAGAGCTCAACTGCTCGCTGCTTTGGTTCTTAAGGGGGGAGTACTTAACAGTCTCGGGAGGAAGATCTACAAGGAAGAGAGACTGATGAAGCTGTATCATGACTGGGCGATGCATGTGTTACGCCGCCTACGTTGTGACGGCACGTTTGAACAGCTTAAGCCATTAGTCAATTTAAAAGGCTGTAAAGAGGCATACAGTTTCGACTTAAAGTCGGCCACGGATCGACGGCCTCGCGCCATCATTCGTGAGGTTGTAGCCTCCATGTTCGGACGTCATATTGCGTGGTCATTGGTGGAAGCAGCGGCGCGGGCAGTCTCAAGTAGGCATTATGCCCCCCGTTGGTGCAGAAGCCAACCCGGCAGTTCTTCGCAGTAGGTAAACCGTTGGGTTACTATGGTTACTGGCCGCTGTTCGCGCTATCACATCATGTGAGAGTGGTGTGGCTAGCAACGGAGCCGGGTATATAGCGGTTTGGAGCGGTTTGAGGCCTGTGTGGTTTTCGGCGATGACGTAGTAATCACCGACCGTGGGTGGCTGACGAATACAGAAGTCTTATCTCCTTATTAGGGGTTAGTATTTTGGACTCGAAGTCCTTAGTATCCCGAACGGGTGTTTTCGAGCTCACAAAACGATTCTTTTTATTAAGCAGGGCCGTGTGGATGTCTCTCCGATATCTATGCGTGCCTTGCACTTATGTCGAACGACCCTCGGTCTAGCGACTGTTCGCAGTAGGTATGATACAGATTTAGTATCACACTCCGTTTAGGCAGTGCTGGCTACAGGGTTCTTGCGGCTCTCGGAGCGGGACGACTATCGCGTCGTTGGGAGCGCTTGCGCTTATTCTTGGCGAAACCTGACCGTTGTTCTGATATGGAGTTGGAGTTGAGTGGTGGCTTTACGGGGGGAAACCAATGGATCCATACAGGAGAGAGTACATATATGGGCGGCGCGGCCGTGGGGAGTTCCATTGTCGTTTGACAACTGAGACATAAAAACAGTATTGGCTATTAGGCTTTCTAGTTATCGGTTATATCCTTTTAGTGAAGAGGAAGCAAAGATTTGCTCCCCTAAAGCCGCTCGAGAAGGTGAGAGGTCCATCTGGTGGTATCGTATAAAAGGTCACGGCTGCATTTAGGAGTGATCTTTCCAAAGTAGCGCGTATCTGGCTCAAAAAAAGATGTCAATCTAAAGAACGGAACCGCCCCTCTACGTCGCAGGGCCTGCTTGTGTCGCGCTCTCCACCTAATGGGTCTTCCTCTTCAACCCAACCCTTGTATAAGGAGTGAGCCTTGTATCTTCGACGTAACGGGACGGGGGAGTCCCTCTAACCGACCCCTGCCTTAGGGTTCAGACCTTTCAAAGAACTGACAGAAACTAGCGGAACACAAAGAACCAGAGACAAAGAAAGTGAAGAATGCTCTCATGTCCAAATCTTCCTCACCAACCAAGAGTTATATCAAGCTTGAATAAAGCACACGAGTTCCGTCCCGTGGCACGTCAGATGAACAACTTCTTTCTAGCCCATGGCTTTTGGAACAATGATTGAATGGATCGGGGCCGGTCCGAAGAGCAGGCATATGCCAAAGGTGTAAATACGAGGGCTCTCCCACTAAGACGAAACGCTAATTTCTACCTAACTAGGGTTGCCGGTACAAACCATTCGGGAGCATAGCAATTATATACCCCCCTTAAAGTCGAACCTCTTACGCAAGCGAGGTATGATAATAAGGATTCCACCTTCCCTTTAACTGGTATTAATTTACATGAGAAAAGGAGCACTTACACCGGCCTTTCACTCCATTTTTTGATTTATTCAATTACATACACACAGATGATTAGCCACCTTTGTTCCCAATACAATTCATCGAATGGATGATTTCGCTCGTACAACAACCGGTTTTACTTTTCCATTTCAATCTTGTCCTAAGGGGGGTACACTTAACACCAACCTAATCTCACAATTGTTGAAGAGAGTCTTGCACGAAAATGACCGCTTGCTAAAGCTTCAACTCCAGCTCTAGATTGGTGATTGAAAAGCCACCCCCCACATTCTTCTAAAACTTGATGCTACATTGACGTCAGCTGTGAGACTTGCGTGGTAAAGTATTCACAAAAAGAAGGAATGTCACTGCCTGATTGCTAACCAATGAGAGTTCCTAGGGGTCAGCGGCATTCTACACATCAAATATAGAGAAGAAAAGAAAGAGAGGGGAAAATATGCTGGGGAGATCTCCGGGTTGCGGGCGGCCACAAGAGCTTGTTCAAGCTTTGGCATTTGATTGTCAAATATTGCCTTTGTTTAATGCAAGTTCCGTTGACCTTCTATTGTATTGTGAATCATTAGACAAAGGATCACTTGATGTTCATAAAGCTGCAGATCCACTTTTCTTTGTTTGAAACCCCGCGGAAATATACCTTCATAATTGTTTCTTGTAAAGAACCCCTTACATGTAATACATTGCATTCTTGTTTATCCGTTCAGGTGCGATGGATTGGCCGATTCTAGAACAATGGTACGTGGAGACTGCTCGGCCTCAACATTCAAATTCAAGGAAGGACCTTTCAAAGGTTCTAGCCGGATCAACTGATGCGGAAGGGTCTCTTTCGGAGTCCGATTCTTGCGTTGGAGCCTTCCTCCTAGCCTTTTTGGTTCACTTGCTACACTCATCCTAATCCCATTCACAGTGGCATGCCTTACCCTATACAGCAACGACTTCACGCGGGGATAACACATATTCCCGATTCTTAGGGATAGGGAGGAAGGGCATAGAGCACTACTTCCTTGTTATACCGTTCGTGACCAAGGGAATTGGTCACTTCAGAGTCAGTTAACAAAGTCTCAGTGCGGGAAGTGCAAGAAGGGGTAGTAAATGGCAGATGTCGACTCCTCAGATAAGAAATCAAGGAAGGGATATCACCTAGCGCCGACCAAATCTGGAAATTTGTTAAATCGCAGTCCCAAAATAGGCCTTTGTCTATGCCCCAATTCCTTTTTTAAACAGACGAGACAGACAAAAATGATATATATTAATATAATATATTCTGGAAATCCATTGAAATCACTGGCTTCAGAGTCAATGTTGGCTTACTGAATACCAAGTCGAGTCTTATGCCGGTCGTCATATTGTTTTCACGGCGGCCTTTGCTGCTGGATTGGTCGTTGGTAGCTCTCGACCTCTATGAACACTGCTTTGCATCCCCTAGTGCTATTTTCGCTATTTCCTTCTGTATTTTAAGAAGGTCCATTATCTTTAACAAGAAGGGCATTTAATGCATGATCTACGACCAACCTTCCGTCATTTCTTCCAACCAATCCAATGAATTAGCCCATTCCTTCCCTTCCTTGATTATAGAGAACTTACTTTCGATACTGATTGATGTTACCCCGGATCGGTTGATTCTACGAATTCGGATCTGGATGCGTAGGTGTAGCTTTGTTCTCGATTGCTTTTTCCAAAATGCATTTCACATTCGAATTCATTTCTATTTACAGAAAAGGGGTGAGAGAACTGCTCTCGCGACCACAAGAGCAGAACCGAGGCGATCAGGAGCAGAGAACGAGTAGGTTTGACTAAACAAACCTACCAAAATGACTACAGTGATCAATATCTTGCTTCGTCTTCGGAACTGTTGTGAAGTCTCTCTCGAAACCCTATGATGGAATGCAAGATCCAACTCAAACTCTTCACTGGCACCCTTGGCCCTTGAGCCAACTCTAGTAAGCTCTTCAATGGCACTCCGTACCTGGGGAGTACGCTACCGGAAATGCTCTTTCTCTTTCTTTGCTTCTGCTTCTTGCCTGCTTTCGTTGTCTTCTTACAGATGTCCCTTCCCTACTTTCAGGGTTGTCTCGAGTGCATATGTATCTCAAGTCAAGTGTGATGAGAATCAGGCCGAACGTAGTTCAAAATTCAAACTTTCTTTCTTGTCAAATTACCTACCTCGCTGAGAACCATATTGAGCCTACTTAAATAGCTTAGTGAATGGCAAGCTAAGTTGCCCACTAGTTTGGCTCTACCCCAAATCAGTTTTATATTACATTATATATGAAATGACTTCCTTTTAGTAAGAAATGGGAGTATGGGGCGACGATATGCCACTTCTAGGATGAAAGAGAAAATAGATTTCAAGTAGGCTATGAATTAGCATTCAATGAAATCAGTGCGAAGAAAAGAGTACCGCATCTCGGACATAGAGGAATTAGTTTCTGAGGCTTAGTTTGAATCGAGAGATGTTTTCAGATGGGGTTGTTGTGGATGACCTTTTTGGCACTGACTGAGCGATGGTTGGGAGAGAATAGAGTCCACTCCCATTGCGGGAAGGTGTATAGGACATACAGAATCCTTAAAAGAGAAGGGCAGCGCGGTACCACGCTCTTGCTCGTAGTTTGACTCCCCTATGCATCCCGACTAGGGTCTCACAAACGTGCACTTCCCTTATGCATCCAGCCGCTTCACTAATGTGAATAGGTTATACAGAAGGTTGGGTTGGTTCTCTACTCTTATGCGCGCTCCTTCTTCGAACCTTTTGGTATGTATTGCCCCCTAACTATAGATCATATCCACCAGACGAGAAACTCAATTCCGCACTGCTGCTGAGTCGTCGGACTTATCCGCCAAGGGATTCGTGTCATTTCTGTGGATTGCGTTGGGGGAAATCTACCAAAGCTAGGCAGATAGATAGACTCCTTTCCCGCTGCTAGGGGAGAGCAAGAAAGAAAAGCGAATTCTGGTTTTTTAACCAGCGCCCCCTTTTGGGTATGCAGGTACTAAGAGTCCTCTCACTACCAACCAGCAGACATCATCTGGCTGGGTCTTGCCGGTATCAACAACGAACCAAATGTAAACAGCAACTCACTATGGCTCTTGGCCCAGATAACGTCCTAGGCGTAGCGTAGGGGAGATCGGAGCAACATGGAACGCCTAGACTTTCTGCAGTAAGTAGATCGAGAGGTCGTTCCGCCCCTTGTCCCCGAATATGGGTAATATGTTCTCAGTAAATGTTGCGTAAATCTGACCTAGCTGGCGAGCGATCCCAGTTCGCGACAGAGAACAAGACAGCAAGCGGGCGTACCTTTGTTCGCTTCTTCTCCACCAAGCACAGAAGTTTAAGGATAACTGTAGGTCGGTGGCTACCTAAGGAAACTCCGATTCGATCTGCCCCCCGGCTGGGAGGCATCTACCTCATCCCGATCACAAGGAGAGGTTCACCATGATGGGGGGTACTTCTTTTTTGTCCTTCCGGAAAGAATGAAATGCATAGGGGACCATCCTTTTGTTGCGGCATGCTCCTCAGATTTACGGATTCGCAGGGGGCATCAGGCCCTACTTATAAAAGACAGCGAATCTTTTGATTTATATATCTTTCTTATATTATATATATAAGAGAAAGATATTTGATATTCTATTATAGGCCAGCTTGACAAGCTACCCTTCCTCTTGATGATCTGAGGTGCGAAGAGAAAGATCTCTTTTTTATGACTTCCACTTCTCGATCCCGGCCCAGAAAAGTGACCGACCATGGCCTTATTGATGAATGAAAGAAAGGGTTTATGAGCCCTAGCCCCGTAAGCCCACACCTGTGTAGAGTAGATCGTTCAACACCTGCGGCACAAACCCATTTTTGACCTATTGGTCCTAGTATCATAGGCGACCGAACGGCCGCCCCCTAATTACTAGACCGACCTGCTATAATAATTCCATAAACACCTAGCGAAGATATGGCAAACAAATAAAGTAGCCCTATGTTCGGATCTGACAATACCATACCATAATCAAAAGGTACAACGGCCCGAGCGACCAGACTTAACATAAATGTAGCCACTGGAGCCATTCTAAAAAGGGAGAAATTAGCACTACTTGGTGAAATAGGTTCTTTGAGAATCAATTTCAAACCATCTGCTAGAGGTTGTAACAATCCAAACGATCCCACTACATCAGGACCCTTTCGACGTTGCACAAAAGCCATGACTTTACGTTCAGCTAGCACTAAAAAGGCTACTCCTAGTAGAAGTGGTAGAATCATTCCAAGTATTTCAGCTGGAACAGCTATGTACATTTGAGATTTTCTATTCACTCATGATCTGGCCTGGTCGACCCAATCATGATATTTCACTCATGATCTGGCCTGGTCGACCCAATCATGATATTGAAGGGATGGGACCTTTTCTCGAAAAACTACGGATCCCGATAAGAGTGACAGATGGTGCAACATCGAATCCTGTTACGTTACTTCGAATGGAATCTTAGCCCGCCTCACTTGCTTTCTTTACTGCATAAGGGCATAAGCGAAGTCAAGGGATTTCCTTCTAACTGGTGGCTGAGAGTAAGCAACTTCATTCAACAGATTTTGGAGTCAATAACATGCTCTGGGTCGGGAATCTTTGCTCTTCTCTTTTGCATTTCCGCTGCCTGCGCTCTTCTTCGTGTCCGTCCGTATCGCAAAGCTGGTCGACGCCAGCAGGTTGAAAATAGGGGGACAACCAAGACCCCCTAAGAAAGCTTTGTTCGATAAAGCAAACGATTCGTTCCGACAACTTCGGACCACATTAACCCCGTTGAATTAGCCGCCGATCTTACAAGATCGATCGGGCGGGCTGGTTGGGAAGGGGTGATTAGCGGAGAAAAGAATCGCTGAGAGATAGATTCTACTATTTGATCAGGACGAATGGGTGGCTGTGACGCATGCATGCTCCGGAGGAGATTGACCCTTCACCGAGTCAGTCCAGTCAGAAAGGGGAGGGCCCGCTGTCTAGACTGCATTTCGGGAGTTTGAACACCATCCCATTTCCACCAAAAATACAACCCTGTCAAAGATATCTAACCTTCCTTCCTTATGAGTGGAAATTCAATCCCATTTTGTATTTTTTACATAAAAAGCAGCCAACCGGTAATATATAAAGAGATCTTTATATATTATAAACCCGGTGCATTTCTTCCGACCTTTTTTGAAAAGCGCATAGTTTCTCCTCCAAAAAGGACCTCTCCAGTAGGGCATTAGAGATTTCCCTAAACCAGTAGGTCCTTGAGCGGATCTCCCATGTTAGCCCCAAGACGTCGGTCTCTAACTAGAAAAGTCAATGCTTGAGCTTGAGCGAGAAGGGCCTCCTCGCTTATTGACTCGAACCACGGACCTTCACGAACGAACCTATAGGACAAAAGGAACTTCACTAACGGCACCTGACAAAGAGCAAACAGCTTATCTCAACTACTTGACTTGAGTCCCAGTACTGAAAGACGTAACTTCAGGAGTTTCCCTGAAAGAATAGCAAGGCGTCGAAAGCAGGGAGAGAGGGAGCTCTTACTACGGATCTCCCCTTCCTTATGGCAGGAGGTTTCAAACATCTTCTCTTTTATTCAAAGTCAGTTCATCCCCCCGTTCATTTATTGACTTACGTTCCGGGCTTGTCGAGGTGGGTGGGCATAGTTAACATAGCATTTGCCGGAAAAGATGGTAGGAGCAATGGATCCCCCCTACTTTCACCTGCATAAAAAAACTTCATGATGTGGAACAAAGGCAAAGTCAGAGAGCCAAAGAGAAGATGTCTACCATCCGGACTCGTCTGAACGAACGTCTTAGAAAAGAAGAAGAAGGTTCTATTTTTGACTATGAGAAGGAATTGAAAGCAAGCAAGCTTAGCAATACATTGTAAGTCAGAGGATGAATATGACTTATGAACGGAGGAAAAGGTTTCGTTAAATTGACTAGCAGAAGAGCATCGTCAAAAATGAATGTGCTTAAGTCATTTTTTGGTGAATGTGAACAGTTCATATATTTTTTTTACAAAGTCTTTGTGGATAGGATGCGAACGTTTGAATGTGGTGACATGTGAATAACTTATGCATTTGAGCCTGTGTGGAACAAAGGCGCCGTCTTCATCTGACGAAGCTCCTTCGTCTGGGTTATCTCTTTCTGCCTCATTTCTCGCTTGAGCCTGGCCTTGTTCTTCATCCTGCACACCAAACACTTGGAAGGCCTCAAGGATGTTTGGGATTCTCATTTAAGGATGTCACCAGCAGGGACAGGAAATCCTGACCACCTTGGTTCAGTTTCCACACGGCTGAGACATCACCTTCAAGAACATCTATCTCAAATTTGGGCTAAGTCATAGAAAGAGAACTCAGTTCATTCTAAGTCTCTATACGAAGATGAAAAATAGAACGATTGACTCATACCACCTAACACACTTCATCAGATTTGTGATTGACGAAGGAATTGTGTTCTCTTCTAAGGGGGGTTCTGCTTCGTCTGCAGCAGATGATCCTCCTACAACCTCTGTCTCCTCGCATTTCTTTTAGACGAGTCTTCTTCTACTACCGAGTCTACTCCTGTCAAAAAAGAATATTCTAAGACAATCATTAGGTTTAAACAAAGAATCCTTTTTTGAAATTCAAACTTTGAACTTCTCCTTTGCTGAGCTAGACCTGATTTAAATACCGGACGAAGGAGCTTCGTCAAATTCAGCAACGGGAGCCCGAGAGGGTTGAGCAAAACAAAACCAGAGGCGTCAGGAGCATTGGAAGCCTCCGGCTCCCTGACAATCTCATGCTGATCCGTCGATCTTGGATAGCCAACTTACGTTTGACCCTCAGTTGTATTCCGAGCTGTCCCCCTTTTTCTTTTTCTTCGGCATTTACACCCCCTATTTGAGTAAGGCTGGAAAGTCTCCTCCAACATCAAATCAATCTTCCGCCCTTTCTATCTCTATCTCTCTGTCATGCTCTTCTTCTTCGCTTGAGGACTAGCAACGGCAGTAGTGGCTTTCCTTTTTTTTTATCCACACTCTGACCGAAGACAGATCTTAAGGGGACTCTGTCCATTTTATCTGAGTCCTGATCTTCTTCTACCCTCTTCTGGATTTTCTCTCCAGGTTCAGGCAATCTTTCTGGTGCCGAAACTGCCTGACCACCTCAACGAAAAAGATGCACCAATCCCTTTGGCCTTACCTTATGACCTTGGCCAACTTTATTCATCCCCCTTTTATCCCCTCACAAAAGCAACTCACACATCGTCATTCGGAGGAAGAGCCCCTCCGCTTTGAGTGCTATGGGGGTCTTTATTTCCTTCCTTTTCTTATTGGAAATCCTCTGTAAGCCTTTTTCTCTGCCTTTTTTTTCTCAGGCGCGAAGCCCTATCGCTGACGAAGTATTCGTCATCTTCAAACAACTGTTCTCCTCGTCTATCACTCAACCTTCTTTCTCTTGCTTTTCTTCCATTCCAAGATCTGTTGCAAACGAACTGATCTGTCTTTCTGGCTTCTGGCCTACTCAACTGTGGCAGTCAGTCAAAAAAGTGCTTGAATAAGGGATGTTCTCTCTCTCAAGGATATCAGTGTACTCCTTCCAAGCGTCAACTAGATCTCTAGACCGCATGGCAAATCCCGGCCTGATCATAGCCCTACGGACGAGCTAGTCTATGGTGGCTATATCTCTCTAAGAAGGCAAGGCCCTCCTTAACGAAAAAATCAAGAGCTTTTTCAATAGTGAATAAAATGTTCAAATGCTCTGCCATATTGGTATGAGCGTTAAACCAGTCAATACTTCCATGAGCATGACTATAAATCCTTGGATTTCTTCTTCCTGTCCTGGCGAGAGACCCTATATGACAGAGGTAATCCACTTATGAGTCTGTTCTGTTCCTGCCCCTTATACTAAGTAAGTCCGCCGTTTTGAAGGGCGTTAAGTCCAAAAATGGTCCACAGTCCACAGAATGAAAGAGCAAAGAAAGAGAAGCGTAACAATACGGCATCAACAGTCAGAACAGCATCTTCAGTGAAAAGCCAGTTCATCTCAAAAATATCCTTCCATTCCCTCGTATACTACGTCAGCTGTTATATCAGCCGCTCTTTCACTCCTTCATATAGGGGCTCTTAGTCTACCGGGAGAGGGGGGGGTGAAAGATGCAAGATCTAGCTGACTAGCCTTATTCCTTTACTCGCATCATCTGGCTCAAGCTTCGCCGTATCTTACTCATTGAAGAATGGGCTCCCTGTCCCAAGCAGCTGCAACTCGTGCTCGCTCGTCACTAAACTCTTTTCTAATGAGATCATCTGCCTTCTGCGACCCTTACCTTTCAATGGGAATCTTACTCTACCACTACTGTCTCTTAGTTGTTTCAGAATCTCCATTTTCAAGCTTTCCGCTCATGTACCTCCTCATGCTAAGCTTCAGACCAAGCCAGTCAACCCTCTTAAGCCAGATATCAGGTCCCTGCTCATGAGGAACCTTCCTCAGCACCAAATGTGTAGCACTCTCCAGACATCTCCGCAGCTGCTGCTAAGCTTTCGAAAGAACTGGAGCACTATCAACACATATCTCAGATGCAGAATCAACACCAACACACTCGGAATAGGCAAGGAAAGAAGCCCCAAGGAAAACGAGTTAGCCATTTGACAGCTATATGGGATCGCGCTTTTGCTATCCGTGTGAGTAGCCGGAGCTTGTATCTTCGAGAGAGAAGGTCACGAACCTATGAATCTCCCTCTACGGAGTCAACATAGTCAATTCCAGGTTCAAACTCATGCCCCAATCATAGCTTAAATCCAATGTTTGGAGACTGGCTTTCATAATCCTTAGCTAGATGCTTCTTAACACATGCAAGTAGAATCTTCTGAACATTTAACAGGAATGAAACGTAACGGGAGGAGCCAGAAGAGATAGTCAGAAGTGGGGCTTAATTGTCATATAATCTGCTTGCCTAGAATGCCCTTTTCTCTCCAGCTTTGGCAGATGAAGCAGTGTTACTTGGTCAAGAGGTCTAGGCGAGACTACAAGACTGAGAGGTGCCTTTGCCTATAACCTTACTGTAGACATAGCTCACTAATCTTTTGGTAAAACTTTGACTACCAATCCCTCTTCTGGAAAGAGAGTTCCTCTCTCCGTTACACCCATAATGGAGTATGCCCATTCTTCCCTAGGAGACTTCGATCATTCAACTTTCGCTTCTGACCTGTCTCATTATCAACCAGAGCCTGTAAGAAAGTGGAGTTGGCCGGGTTTGGTCTCCCGCTCTGGTGGCATAGTGTAAATCCTGTTGCTACTTACGTTGCAGGAATGCTCTCCGACCTTGATCTCCCGGGAGCATCTAATCTTTCTACCAGAGAGGATTCGAGCTATGTCTTAGGCTTTTCCTCATGAGTCTCTTCGGCGCGAAAGCCTGTTTCCCAGTGGATTAGAAGCAAGGAGAGGAACGAAGTCCAAGCCATCACATACACAGAAGACCTTTCCGCTCCTTGGTGACAGTTCATAGCTTCTGGGATGTGTCCTTTCTTTTAGTCGGTTTTGGTTGAGAAGATAGTTGGCTAATTCTTATTTAGAGCAGGCAGGCTTCGACCCTTTCCCGTTAGCGAGGTCCCTTGTCTTGCATTTGCATTTCTCGTACTAGAAATGCTTCCATTTTCGGACTATCAGCTTAGGACGATCATCCTTTCGTCCTTCCGATCCCACTCCTTGATAGCGTCTTTCTGAGGTGAGACAGTTAGAAAAAACTGGAAAGAAAAGGCTTCCCAAACCGTTCGCTTTAGAAGAGAATGATAATAAATGAAAGAAATGCGCCTATGTTCTATTCACCCCTGTTGGGGTTGAAGTAGGTGCACCAACGGCTAATATCAATATAGTTCGTGTGCAGTGAGGGATCTTTCCTTGATTCTAGTAAGGGGAATAAAGTGTTTTTACCACTAGGTTTGTTTGCATCCACAAATGGATGATTATCCCAGTTGTGATCGGACAGCCAGTTGAGTGAGCGTTAGCATTACTTGTTCCAGTTCTTTCTCGAGATAGCGCCCTTATCCCTAGGCTAGGAAGGACTCACATCTTTTTCATGTGGGAAGCTTGGAACATCAAAATGGATCAGGCTGTAGACTGTCTGCTATTTCAATTCCTTCTTTATAGTATAAGGGTGCCCGTAGCCAGGGAATGGGGGAGAGCAATTAGGAGTGAATTTTGAACATACGCGATCCTTGAGGCATTAGGAAGGGGCGTCCCCTCAGTTAGATGAG